TGCTTCGTCAGTGCGCAAGATGTCTCTGGTCTGTCAAAGAAGGGGCAAACGTCTGATCCGAAATCAGTGCAAACTATGTCGTGGCTGATAAACTGCCACCTTAACAAGGTTTGTTTATTTTTACCGGCGTGGGAAGTGTTGGCACAACCTAGACATGCAGAGTCCTCAGGTAAACCCGACATGGGAAAAGTCGCATTCATGTTTTAGACAACTGGCCTTGTAAGTTGAGGGCTGCGAGTGGCCGGTTGGCGTTGCAAGGGTCGCTCGCTCAGTTGTGCCAGGGGGTAGTATTGAAATGCCATCACAACAAAAGATACTCATGCGAGTTCTCCGTATTGACCCAAAAAAGTTTCTCAGAAAACACCATTGTCTCCAGGCTAACCTGGGTTGCCTATTCTGGTAAACCGGGAAACCTGGCAGGTTCAGGCCGGCTTGGTATTTGGGGAGGGTGGTTGGCCGGAGGGATAAAATCGATTAAGACGCACACAAATTGATTCTCGCACTGAAACATCTTTTGTCAGCCATTGAAGCGAACTTCCAAATATATACAGAAATAGAAATAGAAATAGAGGTCAGCTGGAGCATATCTTGAGTATGAAAGTCATACTTGTAGTCAATCAGACATCGCGACAAAACTTGGGATATTTTTTGCGCCCAGCAAGTGTGAATGGTGTAGGGGTACTGGACAAGTTAAAGAAGAAGGATGGGAGCGGCACACAGCTAGCTCTTCAACAGCCACGTCTTGCGCATTGGAATTTTCTTGCAAACAGAACCCACTCCTCCTCGCCGGTTGTATCCTGGCCATACTTTGATTCGTACGGCGAAAGGTATTGGGGCATCTAGCCCATGCACCCAAGCACAGGCTGTCCAGTGCGGCTTGTCGACAGTTTGTGGGATTGAACAAGCGATCGTGAAGTAGTGCCGAGCATGGTAAGATACGACGCGAGGACAAAAAGAGGAGGCCATCATTAATTATGGCAAGTAAAAGGACGAGAAAAAGGGTAACATAACAAAGGAGCAGACGACGTTTCGGAGGGGGTGTGATGGATGCAGGGAGGGAAGGATGCATAACCGGAACACCGTAGCATGCAGTCGCAGATCAATGGTTGAGGGAAAGAATTCAGAAATACCTGCTTTGCTGTTATTGGCGTAATACCCGGTCCACACTCGATTGCCCGTCTGGACGATGCTTCCCCGCCTTGTACGGTCCTGTTTATAGATTGGCCTACATTGCATGTCGTACCGAAGTAAGTGAACAAATGCCAACAACGTCATCTTCTATTCTCCCGAGTCCATTCCTGTTGGGCACGTTAACGTGAATGGAAAGCTTCTCGGTGGGCGATTGTTGGTTTCCCGGTTGATATCCCTGGCGAGTAGCAATGCGGACTCCTGACATTGCCGGTTGATATGAATGCGACTCGAGGCGGAGGGGAACGGGGTGTGAGTTGAACTGAATCCAATATTAGTGGGTGCCCCCACGCTCGCATGCGTGCATTTGAAAATGATGCTAGGCCCGCCCTGTCAATCGACCCGGTAAATTCTGCGTGCAAAATGTGGGAATAGGTCCAGCATCCAACAGAGTCATAGGCAAGTGCTCCGTACCTCCACAAGGTTCACTTTCAGCAGAGCAAACCGACTCATTCAAAGACGTTTGCTGGCCACATCCCAGGTGCAACAAAGGCATCCAGAGCGACTCGAGCAAAAGAAGGGTCTTCTTTGTCCCACTTGCTGCGAGAGCGAAAACCCCTGAGAACACTCTCATGCAAATAAAAGGGCCAACGCAGTTTCACATCGTCTGCGCCCTGGCTTTCTCATATGATGCTCACTAGACTGGCCTAGCTAAATCCGGTCGCGACGTCCGTAAGTACACTGGCAGAAGCAAGAGGCAGCCACCACGAGCGAAAGGCGAGGAGGCCGAAGACGGAGGTAACCCTTCGTGCTCTTCTCATGAATTTTGAGTAGCTTAACTGGTGCCATGCAACGGGCAGCGTCACGAAACGGCCGAGGCCACCACTCGCGGGGCTGCTTCTCATTAAAGACATCCGTCGTTTTCGGTCTCTTGCTGAAATGATATCTGATGCAGGCACGGAACTTGCGGACAAGCCCAATCGTCAGTCTTGCATCATATAAGTCGCATGGGTGGCTGGCTCCTAAGGGAGCTGTTCGGAGGGTTGCATTCACTGGTGCGGCGGTTCTGTGGTTTTGGTAAGCCAGTAGTGCATTTAGGCTGTTCTTTGTACCTTTTATAAATGGCCAGGTCAGGGCCGATGATGGGGCTCTTGGCCTTTGATCTCTTTCTGTTCTGAACGAGCATGACGCTCCGACCACGAAGATGGCGGGTAATACTTGTGCATTAGCCTTCAGAGTAAGAGATTGTCAGCGAGTCGGTCAGCGAGTTTCTTGTGGCGTGAATTGTTTGCACACACATGTGCTGCTCTCGACATGTGCAGTTGAAGTGGGAGCATTTGGATTCAGGGCACTTTTTGAACCTTGTATGGCCGCAGAGTTTCTAAACGTTGCACAGTTGGGCAAATGACAGAAAAAAGAAAAAGAAAAAGAAAAAAAGGAGCCCGTCAGCAAAGGAGAAATTTCCGATACACCTTTGGTCCGCCGCTACGCAAGGTTGGCCAGGTGTCAAGGACTTGTTTCTCTGTTTGTCCTACATGCAATGCATGGAGATGGTGGCCAGGTTCGAGTCACACTGCATCGACCATGTTGTTCTGCCGCTACCTGTTTGTTCAAACATTGTTGATGTGTCAAACATTCCCTTTGCTGCATTTCCCATCAATCCGAAAGAGCGGCTTTGTAATAGCGTCGAGGTTTGCAAACTCCATACGAAGACGTAGCATGTGCACTGCGATAGCACGACGATGGCCACTGGCCCAGATCTGAGAGCGTCATTGTGGGGGCATGGAGAAGCATCCTGTCGATTCCGCCATTCGTGCCTCACAGATAGAGCCCACTGTGGTCCACTGTGGTCCACTGGGAATTGTCCGCTTTCTGCAGCAACTTTGGCTGTTGTGCTCGAAGCGGGCCCCTACCCCCTCCCTGGCTCGTCCGACGACCCTGAGAGCAATCATTCTGTAGCGTGCCAGCGTGCTTCCCGTTAGACTCCATGCCAGCGCGCACGTATCACAAAGATGACCGTGCTTGTTGTCCCTGGCGCACTTTTGTGGACTGTTGGCGATTGGTTGTTTGACTTGCGCAGGGCCTAATCCCGGCTAGGCAAGGCTAGGAGAGCTGACGGGCAGTTAATGAGCAGCGGCTTGGATCATCAGGAAAAACAAACAAAGTGGAAATATTCGGACAGACGCACGACATACGGAGGACTCAGGATGATGTCAGATACGAAAATTGCTATACTCCGCGGTGGGTTGTTGGATTGACGACGAGAAGGGAAAGCACAGGAGGGAGATCGGCTGTTCGTTGAGCGGAGCTGTCGGTGGGAAGCAAGGGGGCCGTTGGCAGAAATTCTTGCGAATGCAAAATGTGATTGACGGCATTTGTCTTGGTGATGATTGCGGAGAGGTGTGCCGAGAATGTGAATTGGAGGAGGAGAAGGGAAAGGGCAGCAAAACAGCAGATCAGGAGTCCAAAGCCCTCGGAGGCGAGAATATGGGAAGTGGCTGGCGGAGTTCGATTAATGCGGAAGGAGCTACGGGGCACGGAGAACGATGAGCACAGGTGTGTTTGCGTGTGCGAAAATCATCGTCGTTTTGGGGCCGGGGACGAAAATGGGCGGCGGCGGGCACCAATACGAATGGTGCTCCTATTTAGAGCTAAAAGGAAGGAACGGCCCACGACCCACGACCTTCGCCTATTGGGCCGAAGCATAGCCTGCCGCTGAGGGGTTCGGTCCAAGCCAAAAACAGCGAGAGCTCCAGCTCTGTTCCAGATCGAAGCTAGCTGCAGTTTGCGCTTGCCAAAGTAGAAAGTACGAGACGGGGTCTTTCCGTAAGGGACAGAGAATGAAGAAATGGAAAGAGCAAGAGGCCATTGGGGAAAGAGCATGGGCGATGGCAGTCAGAACGGGCAGGCGCGAGGCATTTCGACGGCAGCACTTTGAACATCGTACATGTACGGAGCTCAGTCCGACTCGACTGTGTAATATTATGGGATGCAAAGCCACAAGCCGTATATCCTGGCAGCCTGGGTAGACCTCTACATGTTTTATTTTCACTCATGGCTTGCTCCATATTAATCCTGGGCCGGGGTAAGTACTCTGTATCTCCTTGATGAGACGGAGGCTGTAAGGAGGAGTGTTTACTGCGCGTCAGCTCGCAGACAAAAAAGGGCAATCGTCCCCTCTCCACCCCCAATGCACCTGCCGCTAGCTCGAAAGTACAACCTGCGAGATGTGACTTGGGCCATGCAGCCAAGTCCAGACCCTGGTCGCTCTTGCCTCCTTTTCCCATTCTTTTCATGTTCCCTCTGTCCTATGGCTTCTTTCCTGCTTTTGCCCGCAAGCCCGGGTTTCCCTGTTGGTCGCTGTGCGCTGCTTTTCCGGTCGCGCCTTCCATGTACGTCGTACATACGCACGGAGGGCGGGTCTGGCGTGCATCTGCATCCATTGCAATGTTTGTACGGGGTTTGAGTCGTCAATCAACCTGGCGCCTTCCTGAGTCAATTGCTGCCCCAGTGCGTGCCTGCTCCCTGACGAACGTTCCAAGCCGAGTCGTGATTGCCCTGTCCCATGCCCCTTCTCCGTTTCTGTGCTGCTCATCGCAGTCCCGCCCGGGTCGCTCTTTCTCCATGTCCCATTCTCACAGCTTGCCGTGTCCAGTTACTCCGTAAATTTCTCCTCTCCAGTCCTCCCTTCGACGCGCTCCTTCCATCCTTTGCAAACCCCCACCCTCAGCACCCTCCGCACCATCTGCCCATCTTCCCATCTTTTCCGTCTTCCCATAATTCCATAGTTCACCTCCTCCTGCTCCTCCTCCTCCTCCTCCTCCTCTCCCCCCATTCTTCGCGTCAGTTTATTATTGCCTCGTGCATTCGCATCACACCCACACCACCGCACAAACCGTCTCGACTCGCAGTGGTCGGATCACTTCTCGTCGTCTGTCGCGCACTCTCTCCAAATCGTCTTCCCCCACACCACCTTTGCTCTCCTGGCTCCACTCTGGTCTTGCCTGCACACCCTTTCTTTTCTCTCCCTGTCGAGCCTGTCTTGCTCCGTCTCTCCTGGTGCTCTCATCTCTTGTCTTGCCGCCTCCGCTTTCACCCTGGACCTCTCAGAGGAGTTTAGACAACCGACGTAGAGCGCTGTTGCAACCGAGACGCCACGCCCTTGCTGACCATTCCCAAAGGGCCTCTTCCGACCACAGTCCAGTTCTCACGATACCGTCTTCCCCTCAGTCTTTCGGCTTTTGTTGCCTCCTTTCGTTCCCTTTCCGTCTCGTCAGCTCTGCTCGCCCCGTTGCTCTCTTTTCGCATTTCATTCCTCCTCTCTCTGTCTCTCGCCCGGTGACATTCCGTCTCACTCTCGCCATTCTTTGCGCTCTGCAAGCTCAAAACCCTGGGTTCCCAGACCTTTTGCTTTCCCCTTTTCGACAAACTCGACGCACTCGACCATCTAAACATCGTGCTACGTTTCTCGCGCCAGCTCCTCGGCTACCGTTGACCGCCGCACCGCAGTCTACTAGTCACCGCATTCGGCCCGTACTTGATTTTTATCGCAAACAGATTCAGCAAAATCCAACAAACACTAAATACTTCACCTGCGTCAACAAACTACCAGCTGAGCTGCCTTACATCTACCAGCCGCACACGTTCCAGCTGTCGATTTTCTCGCCCCCAAAGCAAGGCTGGGAACTGGCCAAGTCCTCTGCAAGCACCACGATTGACAGACAGTTCCTTTGCTCTGGACACTGCACCCACCTCTCCCGTGCTTTTTGTGGTGTGTTCTCGCGTTGGACAGGGTCCTTTCTTGCTTATGCCCTCGCAGAATCGTGATTGGCATTCTCCGGTCTCGTTGCACAGAATCCCCAACATCAGCCGCCATCCCCTCATCCTCCGTCTCGCACTCGTGCCTTCGCTTTCGCTGTCGCCTTCGCTCTTTATTTCCTTTTTCTCGTCCATCCTTTTGTCTATTTCACGTATTGCTGTCATTAAACCCCGCGCGCTCTGCCTATTTCATTCTTGATTTCTGTCTCCCCACCCTCTTGCTTCCATCCTCCCCGGGTCTCGCTGTTGGCCGCATAGAAACAAGCCAGACACAACCCCTCGTCACCGTCTAAGCACTTGTTCTTGCCATATTTATTTCACTTCTCTCAGCATTCTCCACAATACGTGCACAATCTTTAACCTGCCTATATTCAGACTGGCTGAGAGGGAGGTAAATTTATCTGATCGACACAGCAAGCTGAACCCGCCGTGTCCAGACGAAAGATACTTCTACTGTCGGCCCGCCCATCTCCTTCCTATCTTTTTCAGACCTGACGCCTCCGAATCAGGCTTGGGGCCCTCGTCTCCATCTCTCATCTGTCCCCCCTCTCGCTCCTTTCACTCCCGCCTTCTTATTTGAATTCTTGAAACGGCCGCTTTCTGTTTCCAAAGATTTTATCTTTATCACGTCCCTACTGGCATGCAGTCGTTAGTGACGAGCCATGCATCAACCTTTGCCGGTTATGTCGGGCGACGCCGACTCTACATGGTCGGATTCTCACGCCACGGATTCAGATGACAACCGCCTCGCCTCAGATGTGCTCTCGAGGCCTGTCCCATGGATCCGGGCAGACTCCAGCTCCAGCAGTCGCTCGACTCTCGTTTCTGATATCCAGCTATCGGAGGGCCAAATCTCACCCATCCGCATCGGCGTCGACATACCCGGCGCCCTTACGGACGTTGACCATTATCCGCTCACCGCGTCTACGAGCCTGTCGTCGGCACCGACTTTGGAGAACGCCACCTCGTTGTCCTCTCCAACGCTCGAAAATTCGACGTCGCCATCGTCGAACTCTGAGCCTCGAGATCTCTTCGCCGATGGCCATGACCATTCCCTTGCTGGCGGCGATCCACACGACAACTTCATCGACGACGACGCACATTACGAAGATGCCGTGCATGATCACCTAGACGCTGCCCACGATATGCAGTGGGAGGCGGACATTGGTGACGATCTTATTATCCCGAAACTAGAGCCGGTGGAGGAGGACAACTTCTGCCTCGACGACATTGACCAGGCACCGCCTAATCCCGAGCCCATTGGCACCACGGTTTCCACTGCGAGCACAAAGGTCAAGCGCCCTAGAGGTCGCCCTCGGAAACTCAACATCGTACCGACGGCGTCCGCCAACTCCGGAAAAATCGCAAAGGGCCGATCGAAGACGGGCTGCATCACTTGTAGAAAGCGCAAGAAGAAGTGCGATGAAGCGAAGCCAAGATGTAAGTCGCCCCCATTTTGTCAAAAGTAACGGACATTGCCATGTTAACAAACGGCTTTGTAGGCTTGAACTGTGAAAAAAATGCTGTCGTATGCGAAGGCTATCCAGAAAAGCAAATCTGGAAGAGTGGCAAGGAAAAGGCTGAAGAAGGTATGCCCTTGTACATTTCCACTTGTGCTCTCCGGGAAGGTATCCCCCTAGTGTGCCACTCCGTCTCTGACCATGTTTCAGAGCTTCTGAAAAACCAGAGCCTTCCCGTCATCACCATGCAGCCCATCTTCACCGGCTTAGAGACAGCGGAAGATCGCGTTTTCTGGAGACACTACAATGACCATCTCAGTGCTGTCTTTACGGTCGAAGGTGAACACAACAATGCCTTCCGGGATATGCTGGTGCCTGTTGCAACTCGACACAAAGGCATGATGCACTCCATTCTGTCGCTTGCAAGTCGACATCTGGATTATGACACGCCGTATGGAGAGAAGATCCTCCGCCGCAACGCCAAACTGTCCATTGATTCTCTACGTCATCGCGGCGAATTCCACAACAACGCTGCCGTCAAAACGCTTCGTGAGGGTATGTGGAATGACGAAATGGACGATCCTGACATGAACGATGTCTTGGCCGTTCGCTATGGACAGATGCTCTGTCTTATTCTCGAACCCCTATCCGAAGGAGACAATAGTGGAACCCAACGCCTTCATTACGAGGCGTTCCTCTACCTCATTCGGAACAACCCACCTCAAGATGATGCTTTCCACGCCTTCATCGCTGAGATCTTTTACTACCATATCTTTGCCGATGATTTGGTGTACTACCCAAACCCGCCAGCTAAACGTCTCGTGACGGAGGACTGGGCCCCGGTCGCACCGATTCAGCGCCCCCGGTTGATCGGGGTGTCTGACGGGTTGTTCACGTACCTATCTCAGATTACGACGATTCGCAACCGGATCCGGGCTAGAATCGAATGCAACGCCGACCCTCGGGTAGACTACGAAAGCCTATACAGGGCCTCCGACATTGAGGACCAGATCCTCGAATGGAAGCCAGAGTGGCCAGTGGGCGATAGCCGGGAACGAGTTACTCTTCTTTACAAACAGATGGCCTGGCTATACCTGAAGACAACAATTTGCCCGCCGACATCGGCATTCCCATCTATGTCAATGGCGAGGTCGTTCAACGCTCGACCAGGCGGTACAATCACCGAGACGCCTCCTCATTCTGCAGCTGCGAGCTGTGCATCCTCCCCCTCGCCCAGACTGGAGGCCATGGTTCCCCAGGAGAATCATTTCAACAATCCGCGCCGCCATTCCATCGCCAACCCGAGCAGATCGGGTGGAAGCCGTCCTTTCTTGAACGCTACGAACGAATTGTTTGGCCAGAAGTCCATGGGTGACAATGGCGTTCGGGCATCGCCACCGCCAATCCGACGCCCATCAAATCACGAGCCTGGTGTCAGTATCGCTGTTGAGGAGTCGCTGACCCTTCTGGAGAGTTTTCAGCCAAGCGATCCAGCACAGGCACTCCTACTGATCCCGTGTGTCATCATCGGCACTGCCTGCTATTCTCCTGAAGAACAGGAACGAGTCCGCAATGCCATCCGTGTTACACACGGATACACGGGGCTGCGCAATACGTACAAAGCTCAGGAAGTTCTCAACGTAGTGTGGCGATTCATCGAACTTGGTGACTTCTTGAGCGCATGGGACTGGCAGGCCGTTGCAAACAGTCTCGGTATCCAGCACCTGTTCTAACGTCTGTGACGGCTTCGGTTGCGGTTTTTTTCTCTTCTTTTCATGTCTTCACATTCTCGTTCTGTTTTTATGCCCTTAGTTGTCCTTTTTATTTTGTTTTATTTTTTATTTTTTTCACTGACATCCTCACAGCCAGCTCTTGGTTCCTATACCCCCAAAATGTCATACTTATTTTTGTTATATTTGACTTTTTTTACTCTCTTCACGCGCCTGTCTAGCCCAAATTTTATTTCTGTTTTGCTTTTCGGTTCGTCTTTTTCCACTTTTTGACAAGGCTGGGACCAAGATGTAAGGCCGAGGGAGGACAATTGGGCTAGGATTTCTGAAATCTAATTTTTGGGTGTTTATTTTTGGTAGGATACGGAAGGCAGGATTGAAGGTGGGTTATTTGGATTTTCTTGGATATGGCGGTGTTTACGATATCGGCTTATTTTATTTTTTTGGTCGTCTTTCTTTTGATGTCCTACTTTCTTTCAGACACGATTCTGTCTCGCCTCATGTGTTTTATGTTTCCATGTTCATGTTTGAGTGTTTTCCCCAGGGCGGCTTGTTGACATTGTGAGTTTATATCCCATCTTTGCTGTTTATTTAACTAGTTTATGTCACTTCTCAATGTTAAGTCACAATTTGGTTAATTTATTTTTATTTATTTCATTTTACTATGTACTACGTGATATCATATGGGTGTGGCTGGCTACCATATTCAAAATCATATGCTAGATGCGAGAAAGAACAAATGAGCTGGCAAAACGAGGCTCAAAGCTAGCAAGTAAATGAATAACAAGACTGATTGAACCCCTCCCCCCCCCCCCAAAAAAAAAGAAAAGAAAAAGAAAATGAGTATATGGCAAAAATCATGCGAAACGTCGTCACGCCCTGGCGCCTTCTCTGGCTTTATTTCTCTCCCCTTTTCTTTCTGTTTCTTCACTTTCTATTCGAGTCTCTTATACCTCGACTTCTTTCGCAGTACCACGCTTCTCGATGAGCGGTGCACCCACGGGCCGGCCGCCGACAAAACCATCGTTGGTACCGCCCAGGGCGAAGATGGCCTGGCCGCGCAGCCATGTGGCCCGCACGCGGCCCTCAAACGTGTGGCCCTCCCAGGGCGAGCAGCGGTTCTTCCAGCGCATATCGCCTTGCGTGAATGTCCACTGCATCGCGTCGTCAAAGACACAAACATCGGCGTCGAGGCCGACGCGCAGACCGCCCTTGCGGTGCGAGAGACCGACTTGCTCAGCCGTGGCTTGGCTGCAGAGACGGACAATGTCGATGATGTCAGGGACGGATGTGGATGTGGATGTGGATGCGATGGCAGATGTGGAGGACGCGGGCATGACCTTGTCGCAGTCGGCATCGGCGCACTGGTGGTGGGCGTTGCCGGCGCCGGCATGGGCCGCAGCGCGGCGCGCTTGAGCCGCCGTGTACATGATGGGCAGGCCGAGGCCGACAGACGAGATACCGCCCCAGGCGGCAAAGAAGTCGCCCTGCTTCTCGACGGCGGCAGCCATCTTGGCACGCTCCTCTTCGGCTGGGCTGGCCAGGACCGAGACGGCCTCGTCGACCGGGGTCGCGGCCTTGACCACCTTTGTCGTCCCTCCTTCAGGGGCCGTCAAGTCAACACCAGAGTCGGAGTGGAGCATGTCGGGCGCCATATTCTCAACCTGCAGAGAGGCAGCGGTACCTGGCGCAGGTGCGGCCAGGTGACCAGGCAACAGCTTCAGATCGGGTGTGCAGGGCGAGTGGTCGGAGACGACAGTCTTGATGATGCTGTCCGGGCGGCCCAGCTCGGTCCACAGGCCGTCCTGGTTGATCTGGTTGCGGATGGGCGGGCAGCACTTGTGGCGGGTGTCGCCGTCTTCGATGGCATCCGAGGTTAGGCCCAGGTAGTGGAAGCAGGTCTCGGCGGTGATGTTGATGCCACGCTCGCGGGCGGCGCGCAAGATGGGGATGCACTCGGTGGCCGACAAGTGGACGATGTGCAGGTGCAGGTTGGGGGCGATGGGCGCCAGAAACACGATTTCTTCAATGGCACAGGTCTCAAAGACGGGCGGCCGGCTCTCGAGGAACGTGTTGTAGGCTTCGAGAGCACCGTGGGGGGCGAGTGGCGGTTCGGACGTTTGGACGGCGTCGCCCACAGAGTCGGCAATGGGCGGGAGCATCTCGGCGTGGAACATGAGCGTTGTGTCGGCGTCTTTCAGGGTCTCCATGGCGAGGCTGATGTCCTTGGCGGACACGGCCGGGAACTCATCGACGCCAGAGTGTATCAGAAATCCTTTGAAGCCGCGCACACCGGCGTCAACCAGAGGCAGCAGCTCGTCGGCGTTGCCTGGAACAACGCCACCATAGAAGCCGACGTCGACCCAGAGCTGGCCCTGGCTGGCGGCCAGCTTCTCCTTGAAGCCTTGGACGGTGGTGGTGGGCGGGATGGCGTTGAGCGGCATGTCGACAACGGTCGTGACACCGCCGGATGCCGCGGCACGGGTACCGGTATAGAAGCCCTCCCACTCCGTGCGGCCGGGCTCGTTCAGGTGCACGTGGGCATCGACAATGCCCGGCATCAGCACGCTGGGCGAGTAGTCGACATACTGGATGTTGGCGGGGAAGGCAGAGGCGGGCAGGACCTCGCGGGCTATAGACACAATGGTGCCTGTGACTGGTGAGATGGTGATCGTGGCGGGCGAGAGGATAAGCGAGTTGTCTGGCTGAGTGAGGACGGCACGTGTGGAGGCAAGGACCACCAGCTGGGAGTCCTGGCTAGGTGCCATGATCTCGACTGAGGGCACCATGGTGGGGGGTTTGTGAGTGCCTTCGTGGGGGAGTATGCACTCTTGTACGGCAACCACTCTTGCGGTTGGAAAGGCGTGGATTAAGTGTTTTAGGCCTTACCCGATACAGAAGCAATACGATCTGAGGCGAATCTGGGGAAGAAGTGCGTGCACACGGTTTATCTGGTTATCTGAATCCGGGGTAGACAGGCCCAGGGTCGGATGATAAGATTTTCGTGCAGGACTGAGCCCGGGGACGAGGGGAATTTGGAAGGTGTGGAGGAGACTGGCAAAAAACGAAGCAAAAGGACCAGGAAAAGAAAAGATAACAGAGTTTGGTTGTTGTTGAAAGAGTTTCACTTGAATGGAGGCTTATCGCTTGAGCTCCGATGTGGCGTGAAGATGCCGAGAGATAAGGATATGCGGTGGTAGTGTCAGTCGGGCGTCTGCGCGATAGACGTGGATAAGGGCTGTTGTTGGCGATAGAGGTAAAGATAATGATAAGAAAAGGTCAGAGTTAAAGGCAGCAAAAGTCGTCTGACGAAAAAGGTCAAAATAGAGGCCGGAAAGGACGAGAGTATTCAAAAGGGAAGGGGCCTCACGGGTGGGCAACGACTTCCCTTTAAGGAGCAAAGACGAAAGGGGAAAGGGAGCCAAGGGAATTCGCGGACCCAGCCAAGGGCAGGCACCAAAAGAGGAAAAAAACAAAGAGAGAAAGAGAAACCGACGTCGAGGAGGCTAACGGAAGGGTCCTCCCCGCCGCGACGACAACGCGCGCGAGGAAGGAGGACCCGCTGTCTGATCCTGTGTTGGTGCCTTTTTGGTGCGGATTTCTGGTAACAAGGGAAAGAGGCACTCTAGCCTGCGCCGGACCGGAATGACCTCGCTGCCTTAGTCGCTCTTTCCATATTTTACGTTATGCCTCCGGGCAGCCCTTCCGATGGGTCCTAAGTCTGCCGCGGACGAGATTTGCGTGCTTGCGCGCCAACCGCGACAGCGACAGACGTACGGACGCCCTGGACGCCGACGACTACGTTTTGTGTTTGTGTTTATTTACTTTCTATGTACATGGCCTTACATGGCCTTGTAGCCTCGTGTTCAGCAGGACGCCTCGTCTCCAGACGTCCGGGTGATTCTGCGGTTTTCCCTTATCTTCCAGCGTTATCGTGACAGTGGCAATTTGGCGCCTCGGCCGACGGTGGCAGGGACAAAAATTGTTAAGAGAACTAGTCCGCGGGCAAAGGCGAACGGCGTTGGGTAGGGCCTATCAGTTCTTCGTTTCGTATCTGGTGGCAAGAGACTGGTGACTGGGTTGAAAGATACTTTGTGTCCTTCGCACTTTCCTCACTTTTACTTGTACCTTTCCGGGTGTTAGTCGCTGCGCCCATCCTTATTAGGGTCGATCCCCTTTTTTTTTTTCATTTGTCGTTGTCCATCACTGCATCCAGACCAGCACATCGGGTTTTTACGTCTTTTGCCGAATTGTTCTCACTCTTTCACAGTTGTAAGACGCCGATCGGCAGGGCATGGTAGACCCTTTTGCCGTCCGATTACGTATTTTGAACTTTTCTGACAGGAATGCCAACAGCGGGGAAAGAGCAAGTGGTGAGTGAGGAGGGGTTGCTTGTCACTTATTTAGGAAGGCGCAGGCACAGAAGCAACAAGCAGGAACGCTCGCTCTCGTCAAAGTGCCATCGGCTCTGGCCGATTCCTACGACTTTTGCCTGAATCACACTGTAAACCGTGGTGGAAGAGGCACGTGCAGGCGGAACGACGCTAGGAGGTCGCCGTTGGTTTGCCACAGACTGGTAAATTTGTCCACCGAATTTAAGCGCTTGGTAACTGCAATTGCAGCTGCGCTGCGACTCTCTTGCTGTTTGGCTTCTTTTTACGAAGCTAAAATAGAGCCTGTCGAGACGGAGGCCGATTCGTCGTTGTTCGCCCTTTCCTCTTTGGGGTTTTGATCGAGTAACACGGGAAACAACGATCGAGTAACAGTCGAGTAAAACCGGTCGGGTGAGAAAGGGAAGGCGCAGCTTCGGCTTGCCATCGAGTAATGGATTTCCTTTTTCGGCGCGGTTTTGAAGCCTTTCGGGACCCTCCATCGGTATTTTCATTCTCGTTTTTTTCGTTTTTCTCGTCGGCTCTGCTTCCCTGTATTTTCGTCGCAGATTTTGCATATTTCTTACTCGATTTCATTCCCTAGTCACGATCTTCATAGATATTCCTTGGTTT